AATCATTACCTGGGCAAAAAAGGAGCTAAACATATTTTAAATCAAGAGACCAAGACAACATTCAGAAACAGTTCAAGCAGATGCTTCCCTAATTTACTGCATGAGGAGAAGGTTCAGCACAATCAGACTTGCAAGATTCTGATATAACCACTTTCCATAATAGTTATAACCTTTCTATGGTGTTGATTTCCTGGTTTGGTCTACCTAGAAAGAGAGTGACCTCTGGATCAGAGCCTGCTTAATGGTGGCCTCCTTCCTCTCAACAGTTTGCTTGCTTCCACATGTAATAATTGTGTATTCCACAATTTAAAAAAAATGAAAACGAACATGAAAACTTGTCTCTGGAAAAAAAGCATTTGGAGATGTAATATTTACTCTTACGCTCTTTCTCTGCAGGTTAGTACTAATACAATATACTGTATATACTATGTCACAGTTTCAATGCTTTTAATTTTTATTTCTGTTGAATGCCACACTGAACCATCCAGAGTAGTGGCATAAAAATACCATTAATAAAATGGTAATGGAACCACAACAGTTGGGTAACAGAAGTCTTTTTCTGTCACAGCACAGTATCTAAGATGATAACCTGTCATGGATGCAGCCAAAATACAGCACACAGAGGTGATGCAGAGAACGTTGCTCAGATTTTAATTCCAAGCATTTAAAAATAAATAAATCCTCGTGTAGTTATCAAAAAAAAAGCCTAACTGCCGTAAGTTTTACAGCGGCCCAAACAAGACTGGCTTGCTTTCATCATCGCCTCCAATAGGCAGCACCGGAAAAGCCAGGAATGCTCAGCAAAAGGCGTCTCTCGCTCTTCTCAAGCAGGCAAGGCGAGAGGAGGGATGCCCGCCGCTACGCCTCCCTCCCCGGCTCCCTCGTCACCCCAACTTGGGAGAGAAACTCCGGTTGTACGAAAGGAAGCAGAGGCTACAGTCCACCCCTCTCCCCTCCCCAGCGCCCGCGAGGAAGGAAGCAGCCCATCGCGGCGCTGCTTGACGTGGCCTTGGGGATGCCACAGGTCCAGATCTGCTGCGGCTCGGCAGTCGCAGGGACCCGGCGGATGCCGTCCTCCCTTTTCCACTTACAGCTACATTCAGGATCGGCGCAGCGTTTGAATTCGGCGAACCGGCGGTCCGGCTTTCGACTGGCATGACTGGGAGCCGCCGGGATGCAAAGCAGCAGCGCGAAGAGCGGGAGCGCCCGGGAAAGACGCCGCCGCGCCGCAGCCATGTTTTAGTTGACGAGGGCTGCCGAGCTGGTGGAGGGGGGAAGTAAGCAGACACGTCAGCAGAGCCGCCCGGGAGAAGGATATGGAGAAGAGGAGGAGCAGCAGAAGTTGGAGCCGACTCGGTCTCTCTCCCAAAGGCAGAGGGGATGGAGGCGCACCACGCCCTGGCTTCGCCCCCGAGCATCCTCAGCCGCCCACCAAAGCCCAGAGGAAGAAACGCTGCACCTGGCTTGCTAAGAGACATTCAGCTCTTCATCCCCAAATTCCATTATCCTGGGTATCTGAGATAACTAGATACACACACATATATACTGTATATATCCCATATAAATAAGTGAGGCGAGGTGTCCTCTGATGTGTCTTGCAAGCAAATATTTTTTGTCATCCTCTATTATTAAAGAAAAGTTCTCCCATTGACTTTCACCACACATTTATAGGAGAGCTGTGCTACAGTCCCCCAAAATCGGAAGTCTGGTAATAGCTTTTCTGACTAAGAAATTTTGTTAAAAGACAAGCTTTTGTGAATTGCAATCATTTCACCAGCTGCCTAAAGGTGCTAGACTGATGTAGTTTAAAATGTTGCAATTACGAATTTATACAGTTATAATGTGTCTCACATGTAAGATGCAGCTGCCAACCTGTGTTCCCATTTCTTTTCCCCAGACCATTTCAAATCCTTTATCAGTTTAATCAATTCAAGGCTCGTGGGCCCGATCCAGCCCATGGGGTGCTTTGATCTGGCCCATGGGGCCACCCTGAAAACAGCCAAGAACTGGCCTGCAGTGCCTCTGCCAGTTAAAATGGAGCTTGGGAGGGCCACGCACGACCCTCCTAGGCTCTGTTTTTGGCCGGGATGGCCTTCTGCAGCCCTCTGCCAGCAAAAATGGAGCTGGGGGGGGCGCACATGCAGCCTTCCAAGCTGTTTTCACTGGCAGAGGACTGCAGGAGGCTGTCCCAGCCAAAAATGGGGCCACGCCCACCCAGCACCCCTAGGTCAAATACAACCCTCAATGAAATCGAGTTTGACACCCCTGTTTTAGCCCCTGTATGCATTTTATTCAGTGAACTGCAGCTCACAATTGTTTTATTCAGAAAAAGTGCTACCAGATTCATGATTTTTCACTTGTCAAATTGTTGTGAGCTTGTGCCTTAACTTATTGAGCCACTATGTAATGACTCAGATTCCCACAATTTATTTAGATTTATTTGCCTGTTTCCCTTCAGTTAGTCTCAAAACAGATGGATTTTACATCCAAGGGATCTCTCCCAAAAGAAAAATGAAAAAGGAGTGGGAAATCATTTTTCAGATACAAGCGGTAAAACATAATTTAGATTGAATTCTGGAAGTTGAGGTCCACATGTCTTAAAGTTGGCAAGGTTTAAAAACACTAACTTAGACTAAAGGAAAAGAGAGAAATCCATTTTTAACCCTGAAAAATAATTTTTAAATTGCAAATTGTCCAAGACAGTAGGCTGCAAGACAAATAAAGCCTCCTCCTCTGGCTTACTATCTTTTATTATTTTCTTGAAAGGATGAAGCAGGTGAAAGATGTTATCTTTGAAGATATGGTTGAATGCAAAAGTACACAAAAACTAGTATTGTACAGGAAAATATATTCATCCAAGAATCTGACATAAGAAAGCCAAGGTTTGTTGGATCTTGTATCCTCCAATGAAAGAAGCAGAGAGCATGCTGCCAATGAAATGTAATTGTGTTCATCTTTGGATGGTTGGCAGAAGAGCCCTTTAAAATAATGAAATGTGTAAAGTAGGCAGAGTTCCTGGTGCCAAGCATACACTTTATGACTGTGTGCAATCCACTGTATTTGTCCAATCATTGCTATTTCCTTATTTGCAATTACTATAATCTTAATTATTAACTGTGACAATGCTGCAAATATAGGAAAACATCACATTTATTGTTTTATTTTTGTTGCTGTTATTCCATGCTATTCTTTGGAATCCTCAATATTAACCCAAACATTCTGAAAATTGCCTACTATTCCATTCCTTAAATGTAATGTCTAAATATAGTATAAAAGTAATTTTCTTTCAGCTGACTTACTTTTTTGTTTGTCCCATACAAAGTGGAATATTTACTATACATCAGGTTCTTCATTCATCTGTATAAATGGTACATAGGATGAAACATGATGATACAGAACACTAATCCACAGTTAGTATCAGTAAGTTATATAATAAGTCCTCTGGAGTGCTTTAGAATCCAGAGATATCATTGCTGGCTCTTGATTAGACAAATAATTACTTGCAAAGTCTCTGGTTCTCAGTCCCAAATCTATTTTACTTTGTAAGTATACTGGAAAGTCCTTGGCATGCAAGTTCCTTTGCAGACTTGGGCACACATCCATGAAATTCCTCTATGGCCACTGTTATTGTTTATAGATCACCAAGTTATCAAAGAATAAGTTTTACTATACAGCTGTAAACTATGATGACTTTTAATGTGGATAATGATTAGAATTTTGCCATAGCACTAAGAATTAAGGACTAAGATGACAACTCACTGGACTATTTTGGCTCACAAAATAAAATTCAGTTTGTAAGCAGTAGGGAAACCATGCTCTGTGATATATGCAATCATACAATCTCATTTTTCCCCAAGTGCATGTAAAGCTAGAATAATCTGAGAGAAAAAGCAGTAAATTAGCACTTAACATGCTGAGCCAATTAACATTTAACCATAGATGGAAGAAATTTCTTCCTGAACAGTGATTAGGCTCTACATATGAATGGATAGATTACCAGTAGAAAGGACTAATTAATATTCTAGTCCCAAAGGAACTGGAGAATGTGGGTTTTCAAAGATGATCACAGTTTAAAGATTAATTCTCTCTGTATTACAGTATATTTAAAAAAGGATAAAGACTTCCTTGAAACAAGTTTAGTTTCACAAAGTTTTCTTGACACCAGCGTAGGAGTGCTTAACCACAGCCTTCTTTGTCCCAAAGATGCTTTTTTAGGAGGCAACTGGACTTTGTTTTTTCACTTCTCATCCAAACAGCTTCATCAGCTCTGACTGGATGGTGGGGAATGGAAGAATTTATATTCCTTGCAGACAGCTGGTCATTTGCATTCTTTTAGAGGGTCTTTGAAGCACTTGGAGGTTTATCAAAGAAAAAACAAAGTCCAGTTGCCTCCTGAAAAAGCACATTTGGGATAATCATGACCTGGGTGACTGAGAATCTCTGCAGACATTGCCTTTCAAAATATTCCGAGTCTAGCCTTCATCCCTGGAATTTTTGGGTGATGCCCTGACCCGCTTCAGTAGGCTCAACCTTCTAAAAAGGGCCCTCTACAAGAAGCGTTTTCTGGAAATGACTCTGAAATGATGCACTTATATTAGCCTAGATGTAAATATTTTAATACAATATTACCCAACTGCAGTCCATAATACAAAATAAGACAGTACTGCACAGCAGTGAAAGCCAAGCTAAGAAAAAAGCCTGGAAAAAGAACTATTTGTCAACCTATTAGACGTTGCTCTTTCTTCACTTTATCTAGGTTACAATTGTTATGTACCGAGAGACCATCAGAACCCCTGAAAAATACGTAAACGATGAACTGGTATTCTCTATCTTCAACGAGGCTCAGTTTACGAGCACAGATACGCGCCCAGGAACTCCGAGGCGAGGAAGGGACTTAGGTTAATAAAGCAATCAAGCACAGAGGGGAAAGTGTTAACGCATGCGCAGGCGAATTCGATACTTCTGTGAAAGGCAGGGAGTATCACGTGGCCCAAACGTTTTCGTGGTGCCCACAGAAAAGATGGCGCTCGCTGCGGCAAAGCATCGGAAGTGAAAGAAAAAGGCGTCGTGGTGTAGAATGTAGCGCGCATATTCTCGGAACCGGAACGAAGGGAGGTGGGAAGGAAGGAAGGAAGCTTCCCATCGCGGTAGGTAGCGCTAATCTGAGAATTCTCAGCTGTTGGGCTCTCATCGGCTATTAGCAATTAAAAAAAAGAGAGAAGGGAGCACACCCTGTTTTACGAAGGATGTGTATCTGTGGTTGCTATTACAGCATCTAAACCAACGAATTCATTGACCGTTAGGCAAGCGATGTCGTAAAACACAGTCTTCACGATCTTTATAACACGGGTTTTATTTCGTGTTATCGTTTTCCTTTTGCTCCTAAAAGAGGTGCTTAGAAAGCTGGCCTGCAAAGGCCAGTTGAGTTTCCTGCTTTGCATCTCTGGGTTAATATTGAAACTTATGTCTTTCGAATTGCAGGTTCTGTGAAGTCAGGTGGGCTCTTAATTCCTTTCAGTCACATTATCTTCTACTTGGGAAGCACTCTCTGGTCAATGGCAGCTTTTTCTGTAATTATGTACGTGTAATTGTTTAGAAATTTTAAATGCCATCTACTTTCTTAAGCATTCTGGAGGTGTTACAAGATCTAAGAAAAATATACATAAAATTATTTACACACACACACTTAGTGATCTCTATAAGACCAGTGCTTTTATCAAAATGATGAAAGGAGCTTCGCATTTTAGGATTCAAGATGCATCCTTTTCATATGTGCACATAAATGACTTCATCACACGTGTATAAAAGGGTACTTTACAAAGCTGCAGGGCATGTTTTGCCCCCTCCTTCCCATTCCTCTGCATAGCACACAAAAGTGAACACAGTAATGTTGAAAGCCCAGGGAAAACAAATATTTTGAAGTTCTTGAATTGTTACAAGGAGAAAGATTGTTTCAATCCCAATGGCAATTTATTCCACAATATGGTTCCTACCACAAAGAAAGTCAGATTGGTTGTTTATATCCAATTCATCCATAAACTTTGTCCATTGATTATCTGAGAGCACAGAGTAGTCTACCCATGAATTCATAGCCTTGCAAGTAGCTTGTATCTAATCTATGTAAAACTTTATACACCACAGTGACTATCTTCAATTGTGCTTGAATGATTTTTGATAGCCAATGAAACTGATTTAACATGGATAATGGGGGATTTAGAACTAACATTGTATTGGGTATAATCTGGATGCCTTCAAGGCCATGAAGAATGCATTGTAACATTCAAGCTTCAAGGCTAGTACTACATGAATCACTGAGAGTAGGTTTGTCTCCTCCAGGTAGGGACACATCTACTTTATCAACTTTATTAGTTGATAAACTAACCCAACTAACCCAACAATGATCTGAATCTAGCTATCCAGATCATTGGTGGGTTGAACAGCCTGTTTATATTGTAAATCTATTTCTAAAAGGAACAAATCAAGAATAAACATATCCCATACTCTTAAGGAAATCAGTAGCAGGTCTCTCTTTTTGAGCCATCCTTTAAGGGATATTGAAACTTCAAAAGACTTATTGAGAATGGTCCAAAATTTTAGACCCAGGCATTTGCTGGAGTCTGGTGCTCATTTACTGCAGGGGTCCCCAACCTCCGGGCCGTGGCCCAGTGCTGGGCCACAGCCTGTTCAGAACTGGGCTGTGTGATTGGGTGGTGAGTGCGTGCAGCTCCACTTGTGCGAGCAGTGGGCACTCACACAGAACCATCCCCTCTCCCCCTGCTGGGCCGCTGAAGCCTGGTTAGAACTGGGCCGTGCAAGCAGCAGGCAATTGTGCAAACGCGCAGTTATGGGAGTGGCAGGTGTCGTGCACGAAGCTCCACTTGTGTGAGTGGCAGGCACTTGCACGCAAAGCTCCATTTGTGCGAGTGCACATGGAACGGTACTTGCCTGCCAGTTACATAGAACCATCCCCTCTCCCTTCCCCACCGGACCGCCAAGCCAAAAATGTTGGGGATTGCTGATTTACTGTATTTGTTAATGAAGTCATCACCACTGAACATTCAACTCATATAATCCAACTATTGTCCTAAATAGTTTTGGTTATAGTAGTCTTAGTTAATTAGGTTTCCTAATATTGTTTTATTTCAAATTTTCTTGATGTTTAAATGTTGGTTTGTGTAAGTTATATTTCATGAAAAACCTATTCCTGGGAGCCAGTTTAGAGATACAACTAGTGTGGCTGTTAAACAAAGAGGCCTATTAAACAAATACATTTAAAATATGTGTTTTTTCTCTTTCCTGTTTTTGCAGATTAGATTTTGAATATTTTGTTTATAAGTTTTACACTACTGTACAGTTGATGGATTTTCTTCTACTTTACTTTAAAGCTGATTATAACAATGTTTTTCTCTTTATTTTATTTCTTATTCTTAAAAAAAATATAGTCATAGAAATGGATAATTTTGTTGAAGAACTGAGGCAAGAAACAAGATGGCTGTCCACAGAAGAAACAGAGGATGAGTCTGCAACCAAAGCTCTGGTTCCAGAAATTTATTTGCCTTTACTGCCAAAACATTTCAACCACCCAAGTAAGTTTTTACTGACATGATGGAAAGTAGGGATGAAGGAAAGTAGCAAAATCCTAGGGTCATTCTCTCCCCTTCCCCCATTTAGGCCTTCCTTAGCCTGCAGTACATTGTAGTGTTACCTTTACCTTTTGCTATAAACCTGTTATGACCAATTATTTTCTTCAATAAAATTGCATAATATATGTTTTGTGTGCCATTTTGAAATGCAGTTGAGGAATGGTATATTGAACATTAACATAACACAGAATCTTCATTAATAGAAAAACTAGCAATTAAAAAGATGGGTTCTAACCTAGCTGTTGCCCTGATATTTTTTTTCTTTTTTGCAAAACAAATTCAACATGCTCTGCTATAGTACATATTATTTTTATTTATTCATTTGTTGAATTTGGGTGATACACAATCACTAGTTACTATTACTGTTATTAATGTGATGATGATGTAACATCATTAACAGGATACAGATTGGTAATCGAGAATCATGTGTTGGAAACTTATAGTTTCTTCCTGTACTTCTGTAGCCAGACTTAGAATATAATTTTTATTTATTTATTTATTGGTATCTCATCTTTATTGTTTTACAAATAATAACATGGCAGCAAACATATCCAACATACCTTTCGTATTTTTCCACAACAACAACTCTTATGAGGTAGGTTGAGCAGAGAGAGAGTGACTGGCCCAGGGTCCCCCAGCTGGCTTTCATGGATAAGGCGGGACTAGAACTCACAGTCCCCTGCTTTCTAGCCTGGTGCCTTAACTGCTAGGCCAAACTGGCTAATGTATGTAGTAATGCTTCAACTGTCACATATTGATCAGGTTCTTCCACTTGTTTTGTTTCCCCAAATTCGCTTGTTGCTTTGGGACAAAATGTGAGATCTTGGGGTACATGGAAAAGAGGATAGGCTGGATAATTAGTGGAAAGTTAGAGTAGCATCTGCAGTCTTAGATGTATTTAATAAAAGGGATTCTCTTTTGAAGCCAGTAAAAGAAATTCTAGAAGCAATTAAACTGTAAATAGTGAACCTGAAAGTTCTTTGAAGAGAAGAGCGCTGAACTTGAAAGGATATGGCATTCAGAATTTTATAGTTGAGTCAAGGACCAATCACATGATCTGTCTAAAGTTAACTGATTACTATATTATTATTGTGTACTTTCAGATGACAATTGATTATCAAGATATTGTGCTTTTATACACCGTATACTGTTTACACTAAAATTGATTCTTGTATAATTGAAAACAGACTCTGCTCACAGTCACCTATGACATAGTCACCTCTGGGCTTTACTACTGTAATGAATGCCACGTGGCGTTGCCTTTGAAAAGTATCTGGAAGCTTCAGTTGGTTCAAAATGTGGTGGCCAACATGATTTTGTGCAAATCTAGATTCCTCTTTGTGAGAGTTGCTTTGGTTGTCACTTTGCTTCTGCATCCAATTCAGGGTGTTGGTCATCACCTTTAAAAGCCCTGTATGGCTAGGGGCCAGGTTATTTGAAGGACCCATCTTTTTCCAGTTACATCTACCTGATCCATCAGAGAGAGGAGGCAAGGTATATTAGGTCCATCTAGTGGGACCAAGATGAGGGGACTTTTCTGTCGTGGTTCCGTTCCTAGGGAATATCATTCCCATGGAGATAAAAATGGTCCCCATCTTGATACTCTTTTGAAAGTCCCCGAACATATGGTTTTGCCCTGGGGACCTGAGGATGATTTGGAGCCTATCAAGTGATTTGTCTGAATGTTGTTGCCAGGAAGGTAGAAATGTATTGTGTTTTGCAATTGGGGGTCATATCTTTGTAAGTCTCCTGAAGTCAAAGTCAATATATATATATTTATATATATATAAATAATGATCTGGAGCTTTAAAGATGATAACAGCATCATGAATTGTGCTAAAAAAAAAAACCTGGGAGTCAGGGCAGATCTTCCAGATGTTCTTAATATTCTTCCAATAAGAAATATTCCTTTTTATTTTATTTCCATTGTAGGAAGAATTGTTTATTTTGATGGTGATTATGCAGTCATCAGAAAAAAAGCTAAAGTTCATTTCTTAATGCTTTTCAGTTGATGTGACACATAATAATGTGTGCCAGGAAAATCCATGAATTTGAAGCTTCAGGATACTGATAATATTTCTGAGATAAGATAACGCCAAATTAATGCAAAATATATTCTTGGGAGTTCACATTCAAGATATGAACATAACATTCACATTTTTTCTGTGAATGGCAAACTTAGTTCCATAAATGCTTTACATATGTATTATTTGTAAAATAAATAACCAACATTTTCTTATGATGGTTGAAGCAGATATGGCTGTGAAATCTTCAGAATTCCAAACGATGAAAGAGGATTGTTTATGTTGTATCCAAGATGCTCTCTTACAAAGTCAGTGGCAGAGGGCTGCAGAATTAATGATAAGCTACTTGGAAATGCTGGAAAATACATCTTCAGAAAAAAGGGTGACATCTCAAGAGGTAGGTAAATTAATTAACATAATATATTTGAAATGAATGAAATATATCATTTCTCCAGCATGTGTCTCTATATAAAATAATTAAGAACAGGATAAAAATGTCCCATTTATGCATTGTGTCATGAATTTAGATATATAACACGGGACATTTTTTTCATAAATTTGGGGTGTAAACCTTCTTTAGGCCATGGGAACCTTTAAAAATTTGAATGGATGTAGTGAGTGCTCTCACAAAATGTCAGAGTAAGTTAAAATGGGATTGTCTGTTCACAAAAAAGTTGCCAAACAATGCAGCCAATCATGAAATACTTAATTGACACAAGGCAACCTGTTGGCTGGCCTTCACCTCCTGTTAGCCCTTCAGGAGGCTTCTTGCAATTCTCTATTTTACCTTTCACATTTTTCTGGACATTTAAGGAAATTGCTTAAAGCCCTATCTTACATTCACCTATCCTTTTTATTTTATGTAATATGTGTTGGATCTATACGAGGTCCTGTATTTTGTGTAAATAAAGATGATACGGGATGGTGTTTTGATTTGTAGAATGCCAGATCTTTCTGCCTACATGATGGCACAGCTTATGGGGAACTGAATATGGAAACTATAATGTTCACAAGCAAATGTGTTGGGATGTTGGTCAAGAAAATCAAGATGACAATTTTGGCCACACCATTGAGTCTGCCATTTTGACTTTCTTGATTTCTCCCCTATGGATGTCTCTGCTCATGGGCATCATGTTAGTGATGTTGTTGTAAATAATTGTATAAATTAAAGGTGTCAGTAGTCACAGTGCATTTGCTTTTAGTACTATGGCTTTATGACTTGCTTGGATTGTATTTTCTTCCTGATTAGGAGATTTGGAGAATAGGAACAGAAATCTTGCAGCAGCATCCACAGAGTAATATAGAAGAGGTCAACTATTTTGCAGATCGGATGAAAAATTTAGGAGTCAAAAGATATTTAAAGGTAAGAAAAAAACTCTCAAGGTGAAAATTTTAATTCAACATTTTAATATTGAAAACATGTTTTATTGTGAGACTTCCTACTGATTCCTTTAAGAATATGATGTAATCTTAGAGAGGTCAAATATAAATACGTTTATAACCACTATAAAAATGGTTAGAAGCCACATCTTTATATTCTTTCCTTACATTTCCTTCCTTCCTTCCTTTTCCTTCCTCCCTCCCTCTTCTATTTTCTTATTTTATTTTCTACTATTTATATTATTTTACCTTGTTAAAATTTCTTTGATAAATTATATTAAAAAAGAAAATGTTATTGTAAAACTTCAATATAGATTTTTAAATTGCACTCCATGTTTGATATTTCTGATAAAATATATGGCTTCAAATTTTAATGACACAGAACTATGTTTTTAATTATGGCTTTGGAACCATTTAAAAACAGTGGTTCCATAATGGATTCTAACTGAATACTGTAAGCATATTGTTCCACAATCTGGAAAAAAAATCACTCATATATATGAAAAAGTGTAATTATTTCTATAGTAAAAATCTTTGATTTCTTATACAGCTCACCATCTAGCATGCCCATACACAACTGCAGTTGAAAGTGGTCCCTTGTTATTAAAACAGAATAGTTCTAAAGCACAACTCTTACCTGAAGTTATTGGGAAGATTTACTGCTGCTTTGTTTATGCATATTTGCATCCAAAGTTACTGCTTCTGTTCAACCTAAACAAAGCTCAAATTACAGATTTCTTTAGAGCATGCCTTCCACCTTTTGTGCAGCGGATTTCTGGATGAAGCCTATCAGAACTTGATCTTGACTGAAAGTTGGCGATATGGAGAAGAAACTGTTGTTCAGGAAAAAGAGCTGAAGCTTGTTCAAGCTTATAAGGGGCTGATAGACTATTATATGTGGTTAAAAAAGAAGACTGACCTTTTGGAGCTGGGTGAGTATGTGCCTGTAGATGCCACAGTGGCAACACGCAGCAGTAACTCCTGCAGTTGTCTATGCATTTTTCAATTCCATTCATGAAATATGAAAGGTGAGACAAATCTTTGGCTGAGTTCTCCGGCATGCTTATTAGGAAGAAAGTTCCAGAGAATTCCATGGAATTAGTACCTGACGAAGAAAATTTTGAAATTCATTTGATATCTTCCTCAGCAATGGGAAAGCTAAAGATTACTGTATATGTTGTTTCTCCTGTATTGCATGTTTTTTTAAAACGACCTGGAGGAATCAAAGCAAATGGCTTTCTCAATTGTCTATTATTATCTTACTCTGTTGATAAGCTCCATCAGATTTATTGGTCTTGAATAATCATAGTATTTAACTATGATTAATCAGGACTGTCAAAAACACAATGGCAACATAATTTAGTTGCTAAGCTAAATTTTTACAAAGGAAAATGTAAGGAGAAATCATAATAATCTGTTAGTGATCTTGTGACAGCACAAAATGGAGAAGTAGGGAAACTGGTTGCTCAGTTCACCCATAATATTTTACCACACTAAGTATTAAGGTTGAGAACTGGGAAGCTGTGAGCATCCTAGACCAAACTTAAGTCTAAAAATGCTAGTGAATTCCTAGAAGCTTAGTACTCAGACAAATCAGCCATTAGTGGGCATAGAGAGATAAACCACATTTACACATCATCCAGAAGAGACAATAAAAAGCTTGTCAGGGCATTTATTAATCCCATGTTTGGCTCTGGGACTAATTACCCTGGTTTAGAGAAGATGAATCGAGGCTTATTCCTTGTTGCAATAATCTGAAAAGAAACGCGAGGAAAAGGTTTCTAATAAAACTCATTTATTTGTTATAAAGAAAATAAAACACCTCACTAACTAAGAAAAGTTAATTGTTACATTTTTGAAAATAATTCTTGCCGGCTATCTGAGCCGGACCTCTGGCAAGAGAACAAAGGAAAGAGTGTGTGAAGGAAGGTGGGTGGATGCGGAAACACGTAGCTTACTGATAAGAAGTTGGCAAAGCTACGGAGAGTCTGACAGTCCAGAAATAATGAGCTCAGCTGGTAAATAAAATAATGCAGTGACAAAGCTAAAGAAATCAAAAGACCAGAACATATTCTTTCCCACAGCCAGTGGTGGGATTCAGCCAGTTTGCACCGCTTTGGGAGAACCAGTTGTTAACTTTCTGAGCAGTTTGGTGAACTGGTTGTTGGAAGAAATCATTAGGGCAGAGAACCGGTTATTAAATTATTTGAATCCCACCACTGCCCACAGCCAATACTCAGATTAATAGGGATCAGCATCAGACAAAAGATCAGGCAGAAAACAATGCTCTGATCAAGGAACTACCAAAAGGAAAATCACTCCCCGATTGATACTGGCAATGCAAGCTACTTTATATAAACAAAGAGCAACTCCCTCCCCATACTAGCACCACACCTAGTTAGGTAGTAAAATGTCTAAGCAAACAACAAAGCTCAGAGAGAACTAAGGACTCTACATTGTCACATATAACAGTAGTGGGAGAAGGTAAACACACCTGAGTTGTATATTTCAAAGAAACATCCTGCCATCCCCAAATGATGTATATATATATTTGGCTCTGAACTGATTACCTTGGGATGCTACTTTTGGGTTTCATGAAAGAGATACTGATCATAACCTACCAAGTATTGTGGAGAAGCATTGATGGAATATTTTGCAAGCTTTGAAGTGGATTTTTTTTATCATTCTCCCTCACCATTCATTTTATTGTTTGGCTTCTTTAGTATAATAAATATTCAGGAGATCTGAAATAGCAGCTGTTGTTTTATAAATATGATATTTTCCTTTGTGTATCCAATTTGAATTGCTATATTCCTTGACTACAGTATCTCTTTTTAAAAAGCATTTTTGTCCTGGAGGATTTTTGAAAAATTGATTTTTAAAATGAAGGATAAAATCATGATGTCATCTGTTTCAAATTAGATTTATGAGATGGATGTCTTGCCTTTCACAGATGACGACAGCTGTACACAAGCTTCTCTTCAGCAGGAAATGCATCACTTGTACCAGCAGGCTAAAGTCAGCCTTAGGGAAATAATCAGAATTCCTGGAGTTTGGGATCCTTTCGTGATTTGTTATGTGGATGTAAGAGCACCCTTTGTACAGTAGACTTTCTATGTCACATAATCTGGATGGCTGTCAGATGGGCCAGTTTTAGAAAGGTACATTAGGTAACTCAGTGGTAGAGGCTTTTGTGGAGGTTTGTAGATTCAGAAATTGGTGAAAGTGCTATCACAGAGTTACCTGTACAGATAGTCATAAAATGGTTATTGGATGGCTGGTATTGTCTTATGCTTAGTTTTATGGGCATGAGTCAAACATTCGAAACTGTATATTTAGCTCCTTGTAAAAAACATACAAAGCAACCCTGATATGTATTCATTTATTTGTTTTATATCCTACCTTTTGTTCAGGAGCTTAAGGCAGTATGTATAGTGCTCCCTTCTTCCATGGGAGTCCAACTCTTAATCATCAAATCCCATTGACTCACCATTGTCACAGAAGGCATGTTCACACCGATGCAGCTAAAGCCTACTTAAAGCTGGCTTGCTCATGAGCAGCCTCATAGGAAAAAGAGGCATGGCTATACAAGTGGGAATGGCCCTAGAGTTTCTTTCATTTGGCTTTTGCTGATTTAAACTGACTAGGTTTACAAGTTACACTAAGCCATAATGTGATTTGTTTGTTTCTGATTTAACATATTGTGGGAACCAACCACTTGATCTATAAACCAAAGTTTATGATTCCACATGTTTTTATGGAATCAACCAGTCATGGGCTGGACCAGAACAAGGGGATCAGAATGTTAAGAAACCAGATTTTAGGAAATATTTCCTGATAATATGTGTGACTCACTGGAGTAGTTCTCCTCATTGGAGGCCTGCAAACAGGGGCTGGAGATTTATCTGTCCAAAATGCTTATTACATAATATGTGCTATGATATTTATTTTTCTCGTCACGCACACACAGATCCCTTTTCTGTATTTATCACTGTATTTATCTTCCTTGGTGCTGCAGTTCATATAGCTGACAGTAGATGGCTCTAGGGCACTGATTTTCGGTGGTGAGATAAAAACTGAAAAAAGAAGCAACTGAAGGAAGCAGAAGAGAAAGGAAAGAGAAGTGGGGAAGCCTGTTGGATAATGAAAAAGCAGAAAAACTAAATGGGACAGTGGAGAGAAATGCAGGGAGGTTTAATGGGCAAGTAAATTGGAAAAGTATTGGGGAGACAGTGAGTGGGGACTGCTAGGAGAGCAGTCAGGAGTTGGGAGGGACCTCAGAGATTATCATGTCCAACTCCCTGAGCAAAATTTGCTAAAATATTTTGGACAGATGGCTATCCAGCCCATTTAAAGATCTTCACTGAAAAGGAGCATACAGTTTCGGGAGGCAACCTGTTTCATTGCTTGAACCAATCCAGAATTTTTTCTCAGAATCTGATTTTTTTTCCCTGTAGTTTTAATCTACTGAGCCTGGTCAAACCGCCCAGAGCATCGAAGAACAAGTTCACTCCCTCCTTTATATGACAGCCCTTTAAGTTATCCAAAGAGGACTGTCACGATGTCACCTCAGTCTCTTCTTATTCCTTTAACTGTTCTTCCTAGGACTTGGTTTCCAATCCCTGCAAGAAAATCTTAGTTGTGTTAGTAGGCAAATGGGGGAGAGCACATGGGCACATGGGGGAGAGAAAAGCTTATCAGGCAGTCTTGGGGGACACATCTGCCTCCCTCCCCCCATCCCCCGGCTGCACCTGGAGCCATATATTTTTGTTCCTTGCCTTAATGCAGTTTAAAAATAAGTGCACTGTTAAATTACTTTTATTTTAGTTTAATTTTGTTGCAAAACAGTTTGGTACTACTTTGTAACATGGTGTCAGTTTGAAATGAACAGCTGAACATTTATGTTCTTTTAGTTGCTGGAACATTATGAGGAGTATGAAGAAGCACGGGAAGTGTTAAGTGACTATGCATATAATTCCAAGTTCCCTGCCAATCCCAATGCTCATGTCTACTACTACCAGTTCCTAAAGAGAAGGGGAGAATCAAGGAAAACACAGATCTCTGCACTGCAGGCAAGAATTCTGGAGTTTTACTGTTCTGTTTGTTTATGATTCTGTTCTTACTCTCTTTTATCTATGAATAACGAAGAACACAAATGAGCTAATCAAAGATTAATGTTTTCTTGGAAGTTGAATGTGTCTAATAGTGTACTAAATAGCTTGCTGAAATCAACAGAACTTAACAACTACAAGTAATCCTCAACTTACTCCTAATCATTTTACAATCATTTGGAGTTACAATGGTCTTGGAATGAGACCCATAAAGCATTTCTGGCTGTTGTAAAATCTCCCTCTCTCTCTCTCTCTCTCTCTCTCTCTCTCTCTCTCTCTCTCTCTCTCTCTCTCTCTCTCTCTCTCTCTCTCACACACACACACACACACACACACACACACACACACACACAGAGCATGTAATCGCATTTCTGGTGCTTGGCAGCCAACTTGCATGTATGACCATTTGCAGCATCCTGTGGTCGTGGGAATATGATTTGTGACTTTCACAATTTCCAGTGTGGGGTTTTTTGGTGATTTCTGGCAAAACCCCGCTCATTTGGAAGAATGAATACACTTGACAATTGTACTATTTCTTTAAGGACTGTGTGATTCACTTAACAACTACTATGAAAAATATATAAAAAAATGGGTCTGGTGATGCAAGCACCTCAACTTAACAATTGCAGTGATTTACAACATGATTTCTGGTCTCAATTGTCATAAATTGAGACCCGTATTTATTTATTTGTTTGTTAAATTTATTTGCTGCCTAGAGTAGCCCCTAGAGTGGCCATGGGGCTACTCTAGATGGCTTACAACAATAAAAAGGAAGAAATGAAAAGAGTATGTACAGAAGTAAAATAATAGAACAATAAAACAATGGAAAAGAATATAATATGAGAATACATCAATATGATAGCCAAAAAAGAGGGGGGGGGGGGGGGGGGGGGAGCAAGGGGGGGGGGGGGGGAGGAGGAGGAGGAGGTAGCGTCTGCCATCAATCCAGCAACCACCTCCAGTGTGAAACTTCCCCATTTGGACCCCAGACCAGCCAGTAGAGCCAGGTTTTCAGGCTCTTGCAGAAAGATAGGAGGGTCGGGGAAGACCTTATTTGTAGGGTAAGATCAGTGGTGGGTTGCTACCGGTTCGCTCCAGTTTAGGCGAACTATAGTGGCGGTGATGGGAGGCTCCACCCACCCACCCAGACGTCATCAAAAATGCTCTGCCCATGCGCAGAAGCGCCGCGCGCTCGCATAGCAAGCACAGGCTCCTGCCTGCTCCCAATAGCGAACTGGTAGCGCCAGGATTTGAAACCCACTACTGGGTAAGATGTTCCAAAAGGTAGGAGTTGCAGCAGAGAAAAAGGCAGGGTTGCTTTAAGAAGTTGCAAACAGATACCCATGTGTCCAAACCACCTTTTATATTTGAAATATTGTACAACCTTTTATATGTAGATAATCATGGTCTATGCCTCTTTTGTACTGTGTTTTCCAAGTGTAAAATGCTCAGACAAGTACTTTTTAGAACACAAATTAAATGCAATAATTACACCACAATCCTAAAATACTTATCATATAAATCTGTCACTATTATTATAATAAGAGTGCAGTGCCAGTGATCTCTGCAATAACTGGAATATATTAATGGGCTGACTTCAGTTTGTATACACCATATTTGCTTCATAAAATATAATTTTTTGATGCCAGAATATTTCAAACTCTTTAGTGCGGTATGTACTTCACACCTGATATACAGATAGTCCTTGTTTTACAGCCACAGTAAAGCCTGGGATTTCGGTCACAAGTTATTTTAGTTGTAAGTTGATGCACTATGTGAACAGACTCAATTTTATGACCCTTTTAAGATGGTCATTAAGTGAATCACATCATTTTCTGCTGGAAAATGGCAAAATATGTTACAGATCACAATCATGCAACCGGGAAATGCTGCACCAGTCATAAATACAATCTCATCATCTCACCATGTGCCCAATTGGAATAATTTGACCAAGTGTGTGTGTGTGTGAGACCGTCATAACTGTGAGGATGGGCTGTAAATAGATTTTGTTGAAGTCTGTTGTATCTTCAAACGGTTGTTAAGAACTGGTGGTAAATTGAGGACTACCTGTAATACACCTTGTCTCTGAGGTGAAACTGGCAGTCCAATCCTGTTCTCTGGTATAAACCTCTGCAGGTATCTTCTGTAAAACCATTGAGATGTAAAAGTGTCTAGTTTCACTTTCCAAAATTCATCTATTTACCTGTTTCTTCCTAGATCCTGCATGAGCTTGTTCCTTCCCATGAACTAATGCTGGAATTTTACAACTTGCTTAAAAAATCAAGTGAGTCCTTTTAAGGGTATCCCAATATTACACTCAGATTAGTTGCTCTGTTCCTCCCTTGAGCCATAATTAACAGGAAAAGTTTCAAGCAAATCCTAATGCAAATAAAAGTTTACAACCAAGAGTGCCTTTTGCTATCTTGGACTTATCTCCTGAAGGAAAGCAGAATGACCTTGTTCTACCTACATTGATTACAACCTGACTAAACTATTGTAAGGCATTCTGTGTAGAACTGTCTTTGCTTTGAAAACATCACTATAGATGATAGTGCCTGGATGCTCGTGAAAGCGAAGCACACTGATTAAATTATTCTGATACTGTGTTAATTACTGTTTCCTTTTTTTCCTGGCTCAATTTATTTTACTGGTTTTCATAGATAGATAGATTTTTTTTAAAAAAATCCCCTGAACTCCTGTGAACCTGCCCATATTTTGTGATGGGCCTCTCTGTTTCTGGCCCACTATTAATATCCAGCAAAGGACAGGGCTTGTTTTAGCTGTGGCCTGCTATCTTTGAATAATATATAAGGTTGGCTTTTAAGCTAATTTTAAAAAACTAGTTTTTATCACATAATTTTTAATTTACTTTCTATTGAGTTCTTTTCAGTCTCCTATAATTTCCAACTAGCATGGTTAAAAGCTATGAATTAATGGCTGACTTCAAAATGGTGTTTGGCTGGGGAAGGTTCACGTATAGTATCTTATCATTGCAAATTGAGATTATATCCAGAACAATTAGTTGCTACTAGTGCAGCTGTTACTGGATTTTTGTCTTTGGTTTCAGAAATTTTTTAAAAAAGAAAACCCTCGCCAACTGGTAATGAGAACTTTTGCCTCTTTTGCAAATATTAGAATACTACAAAAATAATGGGATCTATTCTAATTTCAGAAAAAAGAAAAAAACATAAATTACAGCTGAAAGTTATTTTTGCAGCTTTGGATTTTGCTGGCTGGAAGGAAAATGTAAGAGCTTGGAATTATTTGGCAAAACAGACAGTAGAAATTCTGCAAAAGTAAGTCTATCAGATTTTGCAGTGTGATTACATCTATATAAATATGTTTTGCTATCTGTATTGTAAAAATCTAATGTGCTTTAATTTTCTTTGGTAAAGATTCTAGTCCTCTGCAAGAAATGGGGATCATTTCCAATGGAAATAGGACATTCTTAAAAAATAGAATCTGAAACTCAGAGTTGGAAATGTTCAAGAAAATTTAGCAATCTCCTTAGTGAGCATTAGCTAATTTTCATAAGATACACATTTGGGATGGTTTCCCCCCCCCCCCTTGAATTCTAGACTTTAGATGATCCATCGGAACCAGGTCAAAACATTAAAAATAAAAATAACTATGGTATATTGAACTGGCCTGGCCTAACTCTCCTTTTTTAAATTTTTTAATTCGTGATTTTATAAATTGGGTGTTTTAATCTGTGTTTCGGCCAAAATATTTAATAATTTTAAGGGATTTTTAATATTTGTATTATCTGTATTTTATCTTGGCTGTTCACCGCCCTGAGTCCTTCGGGAGTAGGGCGGTATAGAAATTTGATTAATAAATAAATAAATAAATAAATAAATAAATAAATAAATAAATAAACTCAATGGAATTTTAATAGTAATACGTTGGATTTTTAAAAATCAGTTACATAGAGTTTTTATTGCTGGATTCCATTGAAAGATTCTAACTGATTAAATACAGGACAAAACTATACTTGCCCATAGTGACATTTAATTAGAACAAAACTGTTTACTTGGATTTCCTGGCTAACATTCATCTTGCTTTGCCTGTCCTTTTGAATTTAAGCTAGATTTGAGTTAATTTTAGTATGAGTGCATTTATAATTGTATGGAAAACAGAAATGGCCTTAGCTTGGCCAGATTGAGGTTTTTGAAGCAATGTATGCTTTGTACCCGATCTTTGCAATCTTTTACAGGTAGCCCTTGACGTAACTATTCGAAGTCAGAATGGCATTAAAAAAATGCCATTTTTCACACTTACACCCTATGCAGCATTCCCATGGTCATGTGAGCAAAATTTGGATGCTCAGCAATTGGAATGTATTTATGATGGTTGCAGTGCCCTGGAGTCATATGATCACCTTTTGTGACCTTCTAACAAGCAAAGTCAATGCGGAAGCCAAATTCATTTAACAACCGCAGTGATTCACTTAGCAACTGTTGCAAAAAAGCTTGTAAAACAGGGCAAAACTCACTTAACACTTAGCAGTGGAAAATGTGGGCTCAATTGTGGTTGTAAGTTGAGGACTACCTGTAATAAAGTGTGAAATTCCTCGTGTGTGTGTGTGTGTGTTTGGATTTAGATCTAATTCGGATATTCCTAGGTTTTCTTTGTATGTTTTTCAGCTCTGATAAGCAATTTCACTGGCTGAAAAAGGAGTGGGCTATTCGAAAGGACTGGTGGCCAGCTTTTCATTTCAGTCTTTATTTGGCAAAAAGTAACTGGCAGGAAAACAAAAAACTCACGTGTGAAAAAGTTCTGATAGCTGGCATACTGTTGGGAAAAGGTAAGGTTTTCTATCCCTATATGTTAATGATGATTTCAAATACTATTTAAATAGTATTTAAAAAACTATTCCTCTTTCCCCATAAAGCGTGCATAGTCCATGACTATGCTACTAAGAACTTTATAGGTGATTATCATTGCACTGAATTGCATCCAGATGAGAAGCGAAAACTAGTGCCAATATCAAAGTAGCAGTGGTACATGGGCATCATAACTACCTGGGCCACTGTATTCCAACCAGTTGTGCTTCTGAGTAGTCTTCAAGGGCAACCTTGTATAAAACGTATTGCAGCAATCTAACTGGGACGTGACTAAGGAGCCAGTGACCATGAGCTAGGCTTTCCAATCTAGGAACAAATAAAATTGGCACACAAAAGGGAGGTGTGCAAGGGCCCTCTGCGCCAGTCTGCCACTTGCTGTTCAAGCAAGAACCAAAACTCCAAAAATCTTGGCAAATTTCACACTAATTCTGGTGTCTGATAATTCATATCCCTCCAGAGCTTTGCGAAGCTGCATCCTGACAGCCTTCTCAATAGCTTTCCCTAAAAGGAAAAGTTGAAGGCAGAAGGAAAATCAGGTTGATTTAATGGAGAGGTGACCATGCTTAAATAGCTCTTGGTGATGTCTCGGGACCAACAGGTGCAAATTGTCCCCAGAAAATTGAGCCAAAAACTATGCTTCAGTCCATTTCAGAGGACCTACCCAACTGGATCCAGCTCAGAGCAGATCCAATTGACTTTATATGACAGATGCCTCAATGAAAGAGCCTTGGTAGTACAGTGGTCTAAGGCACCCTGTTATTAAGCTGGTTATTAAGACCAAATGCCTGCAATTACTGCAGGTTCGAATCTCGCCAAGGCTCAAGGTTGACTCAGCCTTCCATCCTTTCTAAGGTAGGTAAATTGAGGACCCAGTTGTGGGGGCAATAAGCTGACTTTGTATAGATATACAAAAGGATGAAGGCTATTGCTGAGCACATTGTAAGCCGCCCTGAGTCTCCAGAGAAGGACGGCATATAAATCAAATTAAAAAAAAAAAAAGTGGTCCTCAAGGTGGCCCTGCAGATATTTCTCTGGTCTTTCCCTCCCTAAGAGGGATCAGGTCACTTTGAACAGGGTTGCAGAGGCAGTAAAAGCAGGAAAATAGTTATGTTTGGCTGCTTTTCTTGCCACAAATAAAACCTGTGTCTCTGGATTTGCTGTTCATCTCCAAGTATTTCGTCTCCTGGAGTTCTGAAAATCAGGGCACTTCCCTGGGTCCATGAGCAGAGAGAGGCCACATAGGTAGAATCAATGATAGGAAATAACTTCCCTAAATCGGGGTTACCATAGTGTACTTGTGCAAACCAGTTCCCTCAAAGACTCAGCCAGGTTATATTTCAGTTAATGAAACAAAATCTAAAATATAGTCTGAAACCAGTGTATATTCTCTTTGTATAAAGCTAAGAAAATGTGTCCAGTTTAATTGATTTATTATGTTTAGAAGAGCCTTACTTGGGCCACAAGTTAGTTTAATACCATTGTTGTGTCACATTTGTTCTAATGCCATTTCATTTTTGCATATTTTTAGACTGCAAGTACTTTAAGTCTGTCACCAAAGAAGGTTGTAAAGTTCAGAAGAAAAAGTTCCGACAGTTGAAGAAATTTGTGAAAGAACACAGCTGGGTCAGTTTAAGATTGGCTGATACGTGATTACTTAGTATCAAATCTCTTGATTTTTTTTCAAGGGTGTTAGATGATATTGATGTCCTGTATACACAAGTCATCCTGACAAACAATTTTTGTAAAATCCAGGTAATTCTTGAGAGATACCAGTCACCTAATGGCTGTTTGATGTTACAACCCCCACCCCCCCAAAGCTACATATGATCCCATTTTGAAATATGGCTGCTGCAGCATGCCTTACAACTGGCCACAGGGATGCTGCAGCATTGCCCACCTCTCTCCCCCTCTCGCCTGCCCCACTGGCATCCCACAGTGCTTGGTCTATTCCCCATGCCTCCTGGAAGCACCTGCCATTTTCCATATATTGACAGTTCCTTGTGGAAATGACGGCTGCTTTCAGAGCATTCTGCCCTGATCAGCTGACCGTTGGGATACTGCAAAGCTCTCCTGGCTCTTGCTAAGCTTTGGCGATGCCAGCTGCCTGAATGCAAAAGTGGAAGCTTTAGGATTCATCTTCCAAAAACTGTTCTCTTGCTTAATTCCCTCCCTCCTCCAGAAACCCACATTTGTTCAATAAAACATAAAAAAAGCTAGAGAGACAGACTTGTTGATCTTTCTTCCCCCTCCCAGTAGGTGCTGAAACTAAACTCTCCACCTCTGCATTTCAATCTTGATTTTTTAACCCCTTCATTTGCTAAATTTACTGCCACTTTACCATGATAAGTTGATTGCTGGGCTGAAGAGTAGAGGAAAGGAAGGAAGCGAGCAAAGAAAATCTGGAGCTCAGCTCAAAAAGTTCAGGCATCTGGAGCATAACATGTGTAGCAAACGGCCAGCCACAGCAGAAGCTTGGTCCTTGGAAAGCTTTTTGCTGCATTTCTGACTCCCTTTTCAGGAGTCCTAGCTGGGTCCTGAAGGAAAATTGGACTAGCAGAGAAAAGCTTGGAAACCTTTTGGAAAGCTATTTGTCTGATTCTAGGTTCATCGCCTAATTTGGGGGAGGCCTTTTAACTCCCACTTTTTAAAAAAAGAAATTGAAGAAATGTGGGCTTCTGGAGGGAGGGAGGAAGTTAAGCAAGGGAAAGATTTGGGGAAGATCATCCTGAAGCTGCCTCCTTTGTATGCAGCTGGCTGGCTTCCCCAAAGCCTAGCAACAGTCAGGAGAGGTTGGCAGTATCCTGATGGCCAGCTCATTGGAATAGAGGCTAGCCCACCAGCGTAGCTTTTATCATCCATGCATAGAGGCTTGTTTGGAAGCTTCTCTGGTATTGGAATGTGGTGCTTGGCCCTAATCTAGCTGGGCTCTTCGCCCCTACTAAGCTGTTTTTGGCTTTGCAAAACTTTTTGCTGCTCATCTGCTCCACTTAACAACTCACACATTGTTTAACAGCATCAGGGAGAGCAGGGATGGGGAGGGGTTGTTAAGCAAGGCTGTTTTGCTTAAGGGCCATCCCCATTTGCAACCGTAATGTTGTATGTCTACTGTATGTATAAGAATTGTATATATTTTTTTACAATAAATGTTTCTGTAATAAATCTGTTTGTATGAATGTACTTTTTTACTTGTTTATTTATGTTTATGTTAAAATAAAAATTGAGGCTTTATAGAAAATAGACACTATAATTTACATTTCCAAAGTTGCATATACAATAGAAGATTTGAAACTTTTTATTCATTTAAAATGTTTATATGGCTACCCATCTTGCGGCACACAAGTCAAAATAGGTTAAATATGGATGTGGATAGTGGTCATATATAATATTTAAACAGGCACATGGTATTATTAGATGCATCCTGAAAGCATATATTTCTGAAGGCTTCCTGGTTCATAGCTAGCTTGTTCTGGTATATGAGGGACCAAGCTCAAGAGGTGGGCAGGACTAGACTTCTTGGAAAGTGATGAAGTTAGTTCCTTAAATAACTACACAGTATAAGCCACTCATATTTTTGTTTTAAAAATCATATACTGTATCAACTGTAATTAAAAAAAACTAAAAAAGTTCCCAATTGTTGGCCTCATCCACCTCCTTTTACCCTACAGAATTTTGTCACTTAGTAAAGTTTATAGAGTGACAAATGGAACAGCCTACCACTGTCCATTTTATGATATGAATGACTTATGTTTTCAAACTTACCTGCACTTTAATGCATAATAATGCAAAAATAAATGAACTGGACAATAACTAAGATTAAAACTTAGAAGTATAGTTAATAAGTTAAGATTCATTAGACCATGGAAATAAAATTTCTTCAACAAGAAATTAAACCTTGAACACGTATATTGATCAGTTTTCTCATGGCGATAGGGAAAAAACAGTTGGTAAATGGTATAAATATGCCTTCCATCTAGGATTTTAACTCAAATACACTATACCACAGTTTTTCCATTGAAGTATTGGAAGTAAAATTATTCTTAGCTGCTGCCCATGCAGGATAAGTCCAACATTGTTTGCACTTTGGTAAGTTCCATATTTTAGCAATATTAGTCACCATTTTATTGATATCTTTGACATTTATTTTCTGAATATCCTATCTTAAAACCATAGGAATAACACTTAATTATTTTATTATTATTGGCTGCCAAATAGCTTTGGGTGGCTTACAAGTAAAAATCAACTTATTAAAAGAAAAATATAACAGTTCAGAACAGCGTAGTTCCAAAATCAAAAGAAAACCAAACCAAACCAAACCAAAACCAGAAAACGGGTCTAAAATCATCTTGTCCCCAAAGCTTGGAAGAATGATCAGAGCCAGAATCTGGCGGGGGCGGGGGGGGGGGCGCGGAGACATTCCAGAGGGCAGAAAGACTAGGCATGTATCTTGGGTCCCACAAGTTAATATTCTTTAATGAGATCTGAAGCTTACCTACCCTGTTGGATCAAAGCCAATGGGCAGAGATACCAAGAGGTAAGAAATCCTTCAGATAGCAAGGCCCTTAAGTATGAAAGTCATTAAAGGTGATAACCAGCATCTTGAATTGCACCTGGAAGCTGAATGGCAACTAGTACCACATACAAATCAGCTGGATTATACATTTATACAGCCCCCATTGCTGCCTACATTACAACATTCTGGACTAGCTGCAGCCCATGTACAGCCCATTACAGTAATCCAATTGTGAGGTAACTGGAACATGAATGATTGAAAGACCTGATTCTGGGAAGGTGCACTTTTGCACAAACTAGACCTATGTAAAGGGCCTCTTGGTTACAGCTTCTACCTACTCAATGAACAAGAGTTGATAGGCCAAGATGATTTCCAGGTTGCCCACATGTCTTGCAGGCAGAAGTATAACTCTATTAAGAATCACTAATGGGATACCCTGAGATCTGGAGGACCTAAATAGACCAGAGAAGATCTCAGAGCAATCCCATATGCCTTCTAGCCATCTAGTTTAGTGTATCTAGTTTCTCAAATTTCAGTAGGCTGTCCCCTCAAGGCTTCTATCAAATCTCAATAAGACTAAAAGTGTGTTTGAAGATAAATATTGCAGAAATCTGAATTTTGCACCCAGCATAGCTTGATTTACAACCCCAAGATACTGTATGCATTATCTTCTTTTTAGAACAGAGCTTGTAAATAGAAAATTAATGAAGGTGTTTTAATTATCAATCCATACATTTATTTATATTTTAGAGAATTGAAACTGTAAGCTGGTTTGAAACACTAAAGAACAGGTTCTTTAAAGAACATTCTGCATAAGGTTAGCCTGAAAGGAAGGAACATCATGGATATGTATCTATGTTATGTTTTAAAATAGTATTAATCTATCCAGCCCAACCTCTAGAAGTCCTTGGAACTGTATCTTTGATGTGTGACTAGACAAAGCAACTCACATAGACATCCAGCAGAGAATGTCTAGACTCGGACAAGGCAGTTTCTCCTGCCCTTTAGTGAGTGATAAAAAACATAAAAATGAGCAAGACAGCTGCTACAGAAGGATAACATCAGCCTTCATTGCTATTGGCCAATGTATATTTCTTCTATTATAGCCTTGTGGATGAATCCACATCAGTTACAATTCTCACAACAAACCTATTGGGCAATGGTAGAACTGAATTGCCTTCAGCCACTTCCAGTAACTTCAGCCCATTTCCAGTAACTCCCATCATTTCTAAGCAAGTTGCAAAGTTCTTTCCCTTTTCTGCAGCTTACTTGATATCTACATAGGGTTGGAGGTTGGAGAAGCCTAACTTTGCCAGATTGCTTCTTGACTGTACATGACTCCTGTTGTCTTCTGGCCTTTAGGCAAGGGCATTAATACAACACTGCTTTAGTGTATTGGAAAAATGTAATAGACATGCAAGGAATAACCAGTGTTTTTCATGATGGTGGTGCTTGGGAGACCATTTTGTGGCTTGCAGACCATGGCAGCTAGATTTTTTTTTATTGTTCCTCACATCTCTGAAGTTCCATTGAAGGACTGACTTGGTAGAACTTGAATATTGCCATATGATTGAGTGGGATTTTGGGTTCACAGAAGGCTAACAAGGGAGGGTAGTTTGATTCACAGTTGCCCTATACAGTTTTGAGTTACAGCTGGCTCTTTCTTGACCTGTCTAGTGGATTCAGAAAGCACGTGCAGTTTATAATGTGTAAATCCAATCAAAAGTAACAACAAAAATAGGCCCAAGAATAAAAAACTAAAGTAAAACATAGCAAATACAACACAGCCCAATAAAACAGAGTAAAAAGTTTATGAAATAAAAATGACAGAAGATTAATAATTGATGTGAATTTTGGGGAGAAAAGTAATTAGCTGCCAGTTAATTACTTAATTTGAGATCATACTCAGTCTTGCTGCTTGCACCTTCTCACAGCAATCACAATTAGATAAAATGTCAGTCTGCAGGTACAGAATTTTTGAATTGCTAATTTAGACAGGTTCAGAGCTCAGTAGCAGAGCATGCACTTTATATACAGAAGATTTAGTACAACCAGTATTTCCAAAGTCAACAATTTTCTAAAATCAGACAAAAACCAGATACTGCTAGGTCAGTAGGGACAACATGACCTTCTGTTCATGTGATGCCATAACTCAGCATTAAAAAAATCCTGTGGTCCCCTTGCTTGGCAAGCATCTCTAGCATACAAAGTTTGTATGTATAATATATATATATATGTCTGTGTATGAAATCTGTTCCTTTCAATCATTTAAAATATATTATAGTGAGGTTGAAATATATTGAAGTACTGTTAATCCAAAATTGTTGCAGTGAGAAGCAATTCCTTTAAATTACCTATGATTACAAATCCTATTTTTGTTCCAATATGCTTAGGGTCAGATGTGGAGGGGGAATCGTGTTTCTTTATAATTCAGTCTGGCTAAGCTGAAATAAATTGGAATTGGGAACGTAACTGATGAACATGATTCATCTTCCTTCTGAGCTATTTGGCTGAAGTTTGGGAATCATTTGGAACTGGAAAAAACAGATCCTTTCACCCCCCTGTAACCATAGACCAGACATCCCCTTATGGCTGCAGCAGCTGTCATTCTTCGGTCTGTCTGTCTATTTGCCTCTTATTGATCTCTATTCTGGATGTGTTTTTGGATGAAATCTATGGTGTTCAAAGGAGCAGATAACTGTGAAAAAGGAAGGAGGGAGGCGTGGAACTGCCAGGAGGCGGACTGGAAAGTTGCTTCTCAGCTCACTATTAGCAAACTTAATGAGACAGGGAGGGATTAGGGTGTATGTGTATGCCTGCATGCCTGGAAACAAACCTGAGCAAACATTGGGCTCTGTGCTGATATATCACAGCTTAGAAGATGAATAAATCCAATTTTCCAGATGGACACATATCAGATTCACATGGCCCCAGAAAACCTCCAGGGGAGAAAATTACTTTAAGCCTCCAAAGTTCCAGGATTTCTCTCCGTGCATCTAATTTCTTCATTTGCATCTCCATACTCCTTTTGCACCATGCTGCAGTTCTCCTGGGACATCCCCAGTGCCTGGATTATGGTCCTCCTTTCCAGCCTCCTTTCCATCTGGAGTTTTGCTCTGCCTATGAAACATTTGGCTGTTGTGAGCAAGAGAAGGACAACCACATCGCTGCCAAATACTGGGACATCATGGATTATATTGATCCTCAAGCCCAAAAATTATGTGGAGGATTCATCAAAGATATCTTGTGCCAGGTAAGGTAGCGGTGAGTAGCCTCATCATCCTCATATGTTAGCTGTTTTGGTTTTTCCAAGAAATGGTGGGAATCGTAATTTAAGAATTTGCATTTGAGGTTCCCAGGAGGACTTTTCTACTGGTAAATAAGGTGAGTCTATTGAATGAGCATAAATGCTTCAAATTTGCTTTACATGCAAATTATTATTTTAGTTAAGGTATTGGCTCCCAGAATCATTTGCTTATGAGATGGACAACAATGTAATTTAAATAGACTGATGATAGATAGATAGATAGATAGATAGATAGATAGATAGATAGATAGATAGATGCTGCCATATTATATTGAAATATTCTGTTAAACTAAACCAATAATTCAAGGATGACTCAAGAGCAAAAATTTGCCTTCTGATGAA